TGTGTGTGTGTGTGTGTAATTTAATTAAATTGAATGCTTTTGGCTACAATACAATTTTAAGCAGACAGTAATAATTTTTCTTATCCTATTCACACTTTCATTGCAGTTTCAAAACTTCAACTGTGTTCATTGAAGCCAAATCAGCACTCCTGGATTTATCTACATTAGCTGCTAATATTTTTTCGTACACTTCAGTCACTTCCGCCACCGGTTGCCAATAAATAAATAAAAAAAAAAAAAATGACTTCCACCGAAACTCGTTGCGGTCTCACCTGCAGCACCCGTCCATCTAGCCGTGTTCTAAAGCCTCCAGGCGGTGGTCACTCCAACATCTTTTCGGAGCCCGAAATCGCCGTTAATGCACCACGTCCCAAATACAATCAACAAAACTCTTCCAACATGAACGCTTGCATGAACTCGACGGATCCCAATAAAAAGGTCGAGAAACTACGTGAAGAGATCGTACACTCTAAGCAAGCTCAGCCTGAGGCTGAAAGTCAGAAAGGCAATAGGGCTGCCGCCGCCGCCACCACACCCACCGGTGGTCAAGCTAATAGCCAGGCTGGTGGTGTCAATGAGCCACCGCGTACGCGTGTGCCCCCAGGTGGTTTCTCCTCGGGTGGCTTTTGGTAAAGTGCCGTCGTCGCCACCAGTGGTAAAGTAAAGCAAAGTAATGCGATAACAGCAGCGCTAAACAAACAAAGAACATAAAATACACAATATATATTAAATATGTAAGTTATTTGTACTCGTCGAATGTATCGCATTAACAACAACCAACAAATAATCGCATTTACTTCTACTATTTGCTTGACTTGATAACAACAACAACAACAACTATGAAATTGCTTATGGCAACGGAAAATATAAAGTGAATATAATGAAATTCACAAATTTCAAGTATCTATACTTCCTTCCTACAATCTATATATGTATTGCCTTTGTGTGACAAGTATATTATTATTAACTTAACGACACAACAAAACACAAAAAAGCCAACTATCCTTAAAATAAAAGCACAGAGAGCGTTTGCGTGCGTCGGTTGGTGATTTTTTGCATTTTTATACGAGTTGAAATTTTTAAATGAAACAAGTGAATTTTTGTATCTCTGACATCGACGGTTTTTTTTTTTACTTTAAATTCGTCTACTTTTTCAAAGTATGTAGTATTATGACGCGTTTTCTTTGGCAAATGTAGATCAATGTACATATGTATGTGTGTATTTATATTGCTGACTGCGTGCGCTTACACTCTCGGTCCTTTTGTACTTACACTTATACTTAATTTTAAATTTGTATGTATATTCTGTATGTTATATATACGTGAACATACCAATTTCTATTAAAGATTGGATACTTATTGCATTTTTTGGATAAACATAAGAAAAAAAAATGAAAAAATACATATAAAGAGTATTTAATGCTTCATAATTATTTAAATTTTTCAAAAGTTTACAAGAACAAATATAAGTTTGATTTTCGTATCCCAAAATTAATGTTTTATTGCTTAATGGCTGTTATTTGATAAAAGTGATAAAGAGACTTGCTTTGAGCGGAAATATTAGATAACGCTCATAATGTTCCACAATAATATTAAGCAGGAAATTTTACTAGGGGTTACAAAAAAAATCATCCCATTAATCGTGAGTGCGCTATAGGCCTTTATCTAAATTTGGGTAGTGCCTTTATAAGTTTAAGAGGACACAAATTAAGAAATGGGAAATGTAATTATATTATAGTTTTACAAGCTCCACTTGTTATGGGTCTTTTAGACCCTTAATTAAAGAATTTAATGAAAAATAGAAATTAAAGTGTTATTTAAAAGTGTTGTAAAGGGGCTTTAGTAATATCAAATCTAACTTACCAGTTTTTTGCTTCTTAGAATTGTGACTATCACGTCTGGATACTACCGTTTCGATATAATTTGATTGATGCCCAAAACAAAACTCCTAAAATTGTACCACAGTACAGTAGTAATTATTTAGTCATTTTTAATTTTAGGGCAATTTCTTAATCAGTGATTTTTTGTGGGTTTTGCGATCGCCATTTCTTTTGGTAGCACATAAATGGGGAAATTACGATAACCGGGGCGACAAATTTTGACTATGCACAAAGCACAAAGGTAAAACGTAATTATTTTCAGTGTCCTACCAGTTATATTCATTCAAATGATAGTTACATAGAACTAAGACATCGTTTGGTATTTTTTTAAAGAGTTTTATGCATTAGTTATAGTTCTATGTTAAAAGATATTAGTTGTGATCCCATATGAGTCCGAACTTACCATATTTTACTAGAATTTACCAGATTTTACTGGAAATTGATCACGTACTCGGTTCTAGGTCCTCTCTTTGTCAGCAGATACCAGTTTTACAGCCCTATTGTAACGCCACTGACAAAACTCAACGCCTGACTATTGTCTTTACTAATGCGCCTAATACTATGCCGCAAATTTTCTTTTAAGCGCTCTAATGCTGACAATAGTCATTGTTATTGTTATGACCTACTGAGTACGCGACAATGGCGAAACAATCTTTATATTGTGTTTTAGGCGCAGTAATTGTGACAATAGTCATATGATGGATGAATTCTAATGAATTTTGAAAGTTTTTTTGGTTATGTACATGTATGAGCTGAGCGTGTTTACATATAAAATAACCAACATTTTGCAAGTAATATTTGGAGGTTTTGTTGACGTCAGAAGTTACCATTTTTTACTAGGAAGTGATCCCGTACTTTTCAGTGTTACTCTATCGCTTTGAGCGAATTTTTATTTTTTTTTTACTGGTTTACTAAATTTAGTCCGAGGAATACGGAATCAAACCTACTATTCGCTGTTATATAAGTTCCGTTAACGTAGTTATAATTCACAACTGATCACAGTCTGGAGTAAAATGTTCCACCGGTCACGATGGAATGTCCCACATGTATTTATTTAATCCGTTACAGCTATGAAAGCTAAATTTCTATGTGAGAGTAAACTTTTCAGTTGCCCTTTTAAGGTATGTAAGCCATGCAAAATTGTTTACGTGGTGCATTTTACAAATATCATCTATCCCTGACGATTGTAATGAAAAATCAGAAACGTAGTTTGAAACCAGACTTTTTTTATACCCGAGCACACTTGTGCTCAAGGGTATTATAGCGCTTGCTCGAGATGTAATCACAACCGCAGTGTTGCGCGAATTATTAAAGTATCACGTTCGGTGTGAATTTCTAGCAACGTTTTATCAGTTGGGAAGTTGCAACAGTTTTGCAAATTTTCATCAGTGCTGCAGTATTGCCGCTTTTATTACGTGCCTCAAACAGGCCCATAATTTTGATGTAATGTGGGACCAAGATGGCACAACGCCGAAACCGGTTTGTCTCCAAACCAAATTTTACAAGGGATGACGGAAAATCGTACCACATTACATCACACTCCCACCCTGTCGGAAACACCAACAACGAAAATGAGAGTACATATTATAATTTTCTTCACACAACGGTTGTTTGTAGCAGCCAAAACTAATCGAGATAGATATTGACAAATGTATACATAAATGCTCAGAATGAAAAGAGAAGTCGATTAAGCCATGTCTGTCTGTCCGTCCGTCCGTCCGTGTGCACGATAACTCGAGAAAATGTTGAGATTTCTCAACGAAACTTGGTATGTAGGTTGTCCTTTATCCAGGGTAGGTTGCGATTGAAAATGGGCGAAATCGAAAAATCGAAAAATCCAAGAACTACGATATTTCAGTAAGTATTGAATGCAAATTGTTGAAAATTAGTATGTGAAGAAGAATTTTGGTAAAAAATAATATTATGAAATTTTTGAAAAATGCGCGCCCACTTATGATGAAATGCTGTATCTCAGTAGCCGCTCCGCCAATCCTTACCAAACTTGGTACGAGGCTTGCATAGGGTCTAGCTAAGAAATCTGTTGAAAATCTTTGAAATCGGGCAACAACCACGCCCACCTACAATGTAACGGTATTTTACAGAAACGCGAAAACTGCGATAGATCAGTAACTGCTGGAGCTAATTCACTCAAAAACGATTATTGCAATAACCACTCAGCAGAAGATTATATTATAAATTTTTGAATAATGGGCGTGGCGCCGCCCACTTATGACCACAAACGTGTATATCGGTAACCGATTTATCAATTCCTACTAAACTCGGTGCACTTAATAACCTTGGTACGGAAAAGCAATTCGTTGAAAATTATTCAAATCGGACTAAAATTACACCCGCTTCTCGTATAATGGTAAAGGTGGTACGAAAACTCCGATATTTCAATAACTGAGTTAATAGTTACAACAATCTCTTAACAATAAATAATGCAATGCTATTGACTTTTAGGAATTGGGCTTGGCACCGCCCACTTTATGACTACAAGGTGTATCTCGGTAACCACTTTATAGATTTCTACCAAACTTTGTTTAATTACACCATTAAGCCTAACTTAGCATATTATCGAAAACGTTTGAAATCGGGGGAAAAATACCCCTGCTTATCATGCAAAGGTAGTTTAGAGAAAATTTTAACGACGATATTTGATACCAAGGTTGTTGCGAATATTATTCCGAAATAAAGTCCTTTCCGGATAATAAACAAACCGCTTATCCAAAATAAAAGAATTTGGTATCATATGAAAGAGGACTGAAATAGCTTTTAAACAGAAATAACGAACGACCGCTATTTATATTTATTTTTTTATAATTTAATACTATAGAAATTCATATACCTCGCACAAGGTTTGTTCTATCGTAATTAATTAAAAATTTGTATTGAAATATTTTTCAATATGTGGCTTTCCTCGTTTAGACATTTCAGTTTTAAAGCTATTTAAGTGATCTTTAATTTGATACCAAACTTGTTTAATTTGAATAAGTGGTTTGTTTATTATCTGGAAAGGACTTTTATTTCGAAATAATATTCGCAGCAACCCTGTTTGATACCGGCGCGGATATATGGAGTTCGGTTTCGCCCGAACTTATAATTCTTTACTTGTTTCTTCTAAAAATTCATAAAACGTAAACTGAATACCGGCATTTTTTCAGTTTTAGGTACTATTTTAAGGATTATTAACAGCATTTAGGAATTTTTTTAAGTTTTTTTTTTGTTAACTCTAAAGTCATCAAAATCCCAGCCCACAAAAGCAAATAATACATATCTGTGTTCGTATGGAAAAGTAGCTTATGTCGAAAGGCTGGCTTTAGTATAAATCGGCATTCGCAGCATACGATTTCGAATTACTCAATGGCGCTGAGCCGTTGGACAACTTTTGGCGTGCAAGAAATAGTTCTGATACTAGCAAGTCAATATTCTTATTAAGTCTCATTCCAAAATTCCTTGTCGTTTAAAGAATAAAGGAAATGTCGCATTATACAAAAGCCAGCCTTTCAAAATAAGCTACTTTTCCATACGAACACAGATATTTTAGGTTTTTACAGTCTTTATTGAATTTTTATGTACCCTTCCAAACTATAAAATTTTTTTCAATTCCAACTACATATATACACATGTATGTATATCCATTCGCGTTTATTTTGTCATTTTTCCATACATAAATGCTTACATCCTTGTGTACATAGATATATGTATATGTATGTATGTAAGCAGTTACTATACATTTTATAATTTTTTGCTACTTTAAAATAACATTAATCTGAATGAAAGCTACAAATCTACATAAATATTTGCTAATTCTCTGCTAGACTTCGTGACTTTTACAGCCTCTGATATTTACATATACACTTGTTAAATTCTATTTCTACGCTTAAAACCTGTTTGCGATTGAAAATTTGAAGCGCTTTGTGTATGTATTGAACAATTTGCAAATCGGAATAACAAAAAGCAAAAAAGATCTACAAATTTAAATACAACAGCTTGTAGTTATTAATAAAAAATATGGAATAAACACGAGACAAAATAATTTCACTTTCATTAATAAACTGCTATGCAAATACAACTTTTTTGCATGCTTTATCTAGCTTCTGTTTACATAATTTGTGCGCTTAAAACTTATTTTTTTTTTTTCATCTTCATCTTATTTTTCGATCTTCGTTTATTTATTATTGTTCGCTAAGAGACATTTTAAATTCAAAATTAATTCAGCTTTAATGTAGTTAAAAATCATTTACTTTTTTGTATTTTTTATGTAATTTACTATCTACTTAATAATATCACCATTTCTTCGTAGTTGTGTATAATTAGTGAATTTTCGACATATCGAGCACCAATTACTGGCAAATGTTTCTCTACAGTGGGATATTTGATGCATAAACATACGTACATACATACTTATTATGAAAGTTTGTACCTCCTACATGTACATATGTATATCGATCGAGTGTTACGTTATTTGCGTTAATTACACGTACACGTATGCTTTTAGCCGTAATTGCCGATACATATAGTACAATATTTGATAGTGAACTTAAGTAGCATTTTTATCAATTTTGTTTTTATTGCTACCTTCGTGGCTTGTGTGCCATTTGTATATCTATCATTCATGTTAGGTAATTGCGGAATTTTTGACTGGCTGCGCATTAAGAATCCATGTCGAAAATGTATCTGTAATTAGAATACAAAAAATTTGATATTAGATTGTAAAAGTACCCAAAACGTATTTACCACTTACCACTTATTATAATAGTAGACTTGTGACTGATTGTTATTCACAATTTATGTACATATGTACATATGGTTGTATAGATACTTGATTATTATTTACATATGTATCATGCGACTCGAGCTACACATTTATAATTCCTTTTTCTTCTCAGCTGCCAATTTGTTCTGTTCCTGTTGGTGCAAGTAGGCGCGTGTCAGTTGAATGACCTGTGTCAAGCCCACAAACAGATTCACTGAGAAGAGACTGTAGTTTTTGGGAATGATGACTAGCGAGTAACGCGACCAAATAATACCGGTCGCCGCGAGTGCTGCACATTGTGGTACCGAGAGACTTTCGGCTGGACGCGCCAAGTCACTAAGGCCAGCAATGACTAGGGTCTGGAAAAGTTAAGAAAAAAATTAGTTAAAGAAAACTGTTTGATAGCCAGTGTGTAGAAAAACTTGTATGTAAGTATTTATTACTGGAGGCTTTACTTATGGGTATAAAAAGTATCTTCAAACTTGCCCTACACAATTCGCCTGCTCTCGCTAGCTTCATGTGAATAATTCGTTGTCATAACACCGCCGCCGCCATAAAATGGCGGATTATATATTTTTTCGCAACCCTCTCAATATGGTTATCAAATTAAAGGACTTGACTAGTAGATTACATCTCAAAAGCTGCTAATTTCAGTCTACTAATTTCATATTCAATTTATCGCATACATAGCTCTAGTTATTCGATTAACCGAATGTCCTGCGCTCTACTTCAAGCTACGTTGAATATTCGAACATTTGCATTTTTTGCATTATTTTTTCTAATGTGTATACATAATTTGAATTGAAACTGAACACACAAGTGTTTTATTCTTTTGAATGCTCATTCAGTGTAAATTTATTTACTTCAGCATTTTTCTTCCATCGATTGAACACGTTGCTTTGTGAAATCATACATATGTACTTACATATTTGTTTCATGTGATTGTAAACTAAACAAAATAATGAAATTTTATTTTTACACCAGCTTTTTCCCACGACCCCTATCGTGTCATATACGGTACAACGATATGTTATCAAATATTGCAGCTGCTCCCTAATCTGTTATACCAAATGCTACCATAAAGTTATGTCGCGATATTTCCGTTTCCTGGAAATTCTGGACTACAAATTACATCTCAGGAATGGTCAATATTCCTGCCAAATTTTAACTAAATCATCAGTTTCAGTTTGACGAACAACTTATGAATTTGGTATAAATATAATTTTAGTTTCATATCAATGCCCAATTGTTATATTCTATTTAACATAAACAGAAAAAGTTGATTAACATAAATTTTGAAAATGTGGCGACTCTGTTATAAAATACATCCAAAATATTTCGGTGTTAAGATGTAATATTAATTCTATTTATAAAAGATTAATCTAGCCTCTTCTCTGTGAAGTTTCTTTCTCGATACACAGCGTTTTTTTTTTATAATAAAAAAAAAATATTTTTGTTTCTCATATTGAGGAAAAGCAGATTCTCAACTCGTTATTCAATTTATTGAGCATGGGAATCGCAAAATTTTCAAAAGTGGGAAATTTAGTGAAGATTATTTCAAGAATTATGAGAATATTTTTTCGGCGTTTATAAATTTCGATATTCTACATATAAGCAATGCTGACATCACCGCCATCCAAGAAATGCGTTGGACGTGGCAAGGCAAGCAATGCCTGGGGCCTTGCTACGTATACTACAGCTGCCATGTAAAGGAGCGCAAATTCGAGTACTGTCGTTCACCCCGGTGGACGAGCATCTAGCCATAATCCGTATCAAAGCGAAATTCTTCAAAATTTCGCTCATTTGCGCCCATGCCCCGACGGAAGAGAAGGATGAGGTATCCAAGGATCTCTTCTATGAGCGCTTGGAGCGCATGTATGAGCGCTGCCCCCGCCACGATATCAAAATCGTGCTTGACGACTTCAATGCCAGGGTGGGCAAGGAAGGGATCTTTGGAACCACCGTCGGAAAATTCAGCCTCCACGAGGAAACGTCCGACAACGGACTGACGCTGAACGAATTCGCCGGGACCCGAAACGTGGTAGTATGCAGTACTAGGTTAGCTACGTGGCCGTCTCCAGATCGAAAAACGAGAAACCAAATCGACCATGTTCTGATAGACGGAAGGCATGCTTCCAGTATTTTGGACGTACGTATACTCCGAGGCCCAAACATCCACTTGCACCACTACTTGTTGCAGCCAAGATACGCACCCGCCTCTGTGCAGCAGAAAATGTGCGCCGAAATATGTAAGGAAAGCTTAGCGTCGAAAAACTGCAATCACGACAGACAGCCAATGCATTCGCTACTCGACTCTCACGCCTGCTCTCAGAAAGCACTCTTCAACAAAACGACATATGCAAGCAGTGGAACCACATTTCCCGCTCATTAAGTACCACCGCCGAAGAAGTAGTGGGATGTCAGCGAGCCCGAAAGAACAGCTGATACGATGAGGAGTGTCATAAAGCTGCAGAGAAAAAAGATGTCGCCTATGCGCTATGTGGGACCACTATTGGGGTCTGAAGAGGGAAAGAGACGTTTTTGCCGCAATAAGAAGAGAGAGGCCGAAATACGTGAGTGCGAAGAGCTTGAAATGCTGGCCGACAGGAAGAATGCCCGAAAATTTTACCACAGAGTAAGGCGACTTACGGAAGGTTTCAAGACGAGAGCGTACTCCTGTAAAAACAACAATGGCGACCTAGTGACCGATTTCCAGAACGTACTTAAATTATGGAGGAAACACTTTTCCACCCTACTGAATGGTAGCAGCACGGAAAGAAAGGAGAAGAAGAACCCGAGCCCCCAATCGATGATGACGGAGTCGATGCTCCACCGCCTGCCTATGACGAGGTACGAATAGCAGTAACGCGGCTGAACAGCCTGCCAGCTGAGCTATTCAAGTACGGTGGCGAGAAGTTGATAAGGTGCATGAATCAACTCTTATGCAGAATATGGTGAGATGAACGCATGCCCGACGACTGGAATTTAAGTGTGCTCTGCCCTATCCACAAGAAGGGCGACCCCGCCATTCGCGCCAACTACGCCAAATTTTGGAAAAGATCCGCGAGAAAAGAATCGACAACTCACCACCTATTTGTCGACTTAAAGCCACTTTTGACAGCACTAAAAGGAGTTGCCTATACGCCGCTATGTCTGAATTTGGCATCCCCGTCAAACTGATACGGCTGTGTAAAATGACGTTGAGCAATACCACCAGCTCCATCAGAATTGGGAAAGATCTCTCCGAGCCGTTCGCCACCAAACGGGGTTTCATACAGGGCGACTCCCTTTCATGCGACTTCTTTAATCTGATGTTGGAGAAGAGTGCTGCAGAACTGAACCGCTCAAGAACAATTTACTACAAGAGCGTGCAATTGCTGGCTCACGCCGATGACATCGACATCATCGGTAACAAAAAACGCGAAGTCTATTCTGCCTTTTCGAGGACTAGACGAAGTATCTCCTGTCAACAAACAAACAGTCAGCACATTCGCGCCTTGGCACCCACGTCACTGTTGACAGTTATGATTTCGAAAAAGTTGAGAATTTCGTTTACTTGGGAACCAGCATTAACACCGATAATAATGTCAGCATGGAAATCCAAGAAAGAGGAAGGCCTCCTCTGCGTTGGAAAGACCAGGTGGAGAAGGACTTGGCTGCACTTGGCATTTCGAATTGGCGTCAGTTGGCATAGAAAAGAAACGACTGGCGTGCTTTGTTGAACTCGGCCAAAATCGCTTAGGCGGTTATAGCGCCAAATAAGTAGAAAAAGAAGAAGAAGAAGAAGACATATTAACAATAATCACCATCCGATCACGCTTATTTTTACTGATAAATCACAAATGCGTGGAAATTGACTGCTGCAAAGGCCGACGGTGGGTGAGTTAATTACTTATCACTTCGTTATCAGTTGGTGATTTATTCCAGCGTAAAAATTTACCAGATGATTGGCGTAAGCATTTTAATTATATTTTATATACTGGAAAGTATAATCTAATGCTTTGCTTTCGAGAGGTTTTTTTTATAAAACAATAAACTAGTTTGTGACGCCATTCATACACTTAAATATGTACATACATAGTACATATGTACATACATGCATGACAAGCAATCCAAGGTGGGCTGATAAAGTTAATGAGCAGTGGTGGCGGATGCGATACCCATGAATATTTTGCGCTTTTGCATAATTGATTCAAACATACATACATACATACAACCATTGTGTACTTTTCCACCGATTATGTAAGTCCTTTGTGCGCGTTTTGCACGCTCGACTTTGCCAATATTCACTTACCCATTTAAAAAGTGGTGCCCAGAAGAAAACCGTCTTGGGTCCTGTAAGGATTTTAAAACCAAAAACGTTTATCTAAATTCAATTTAGTTGTACGACAACAAATTAGCTCACCCGCTGGATGCTGCCACAGTGGACGCAGCTTTTCAGGCACATGTTTGTCCACTGAGCCAACTAGAGCATTGTAAATTTTATTAGGAAGTCCTTTGCCAGCTGTAGTGGCACTTGATGGGGGTGGTGGTGGTGGTGGTGGTGGTGGTGGGGGTGCTGACGCTGATGGTGCAGAGGAAGCCATCTTTTCTTTTATTATTTTCTATTTACTACTTTCACTATGCTCAGCTCAGTAAAATTTTCTAAATTTCTAATAAGGAGCAGGTACTAGCTGAACACTTGCTGATATGATGACTTCCTCACCTCTGACTCGACAATGAAGAACTGAGTACTGAAATGAAAATAGGGAATATAGAAAAATATGCGAATGAAAGGCAAAAACGACAAAAAAATATGTACATATTTGAATGTTTATATAAATAAATACATATGTACATATGTATGTATGTAAACACATATGTATTTTGTTTGGTAGTGAGAGGCTCGTCATTCGGAACATGCGTGACAGTGACGCTTTTTCAGAGAGTTGATACCAATCTTCTGATACTCTCATTTACAGCGCAGCAGAGAGCAAAACCAATTGTTGTGGGTGTTTGTTGGTTCACTTTTCACTGTCGAAAAAAAAAAACAAAATTCAAAATAATTTTATAAATTTTCAACAAGCTGAGCGAGCGGTGGCAAGCAGCAAGTCGAGGCCGTTCGTTGCTTCCGACAAAGTGTAAAGACAGACCAAAGACAAAGTTTACAAATAGTTAGACAGCAATATGCCCTACATTACCCATTGTGAGCAAAAGAATCCCTTGAAGTCCTTTTGACGGAAAATTCGCTTGATGTATCTTCGTCCGGCTAAAAAATTTTGTCGTATGTGAAAATTCGGCCAAATTTGGTCAATAACTCAGTTTTACCAAATTAATCAAGATCGTTATCCGTCTTTGGATAACTCCTTTAGTTACCGAAATATTGAGTAAAATTGTCTCCCTTAATTGGGCCAACTTGAGTTAATAATGCAGTTATTAATTATTAATCTTAATTACATTTTTAGCAAAAATTTTGATCACAATTTGTCATATGTTAAACAACATTCCTGCAAAATTTTTACCACGACAAAATTCGACTAAAGAAAATCCTTAATAATCTCAAAAATAATTAATAATATACAGTAAAAAGAAAGTTGTTTAAGAAATTCATGAACTAGTAACATTCTCTGAGACTTTGCAGAAAATCTATCGTTGTGTTTTTGAGGAATAGAATTTCAAACTTCAATCCCTACCCATTTCCCAAAAGTCTAATGTAACATTAGACACTAATTTAAAAAATCTTGACAACCGTGCCAATGAACAGGCCAACTCAAAATATAAGACACAAATCTTATGCTGTCTTTCGAAAGACTAATTGAAAGATCTGCTAATTAAATAAAAAAATATTTTTTTTCAAAACTTAAAAACTAAAAGAAAATTAAACTAAAAAAACTAAACAAATGTATTTCAAATAGAAGAAATGAAATGAGTTCCTAAAAATTAAATGAATAACATCTAAAAATAAAATTAGGAATAAAGATTTTAATTAAAGAGAATACATAAAATGAATAAATGAGAATTAAAGAAAAAAACTATTTTTATTTTTAAAATAATCACATCTAAAAAATTAAAAGAAAATTAAGTTAAAAAAGAAAAAACCGTTAATTAAGAAAAAATGGAAAAAATTACCGCTGCCCAAAAACGCGAACTCGGATCTCTTGTTGTTGGTGTTGTAACATACAAATTCCCCAGTAAATCTGGGTCGTTTCGGTAACGTAGACCCGACTGTCGTGGAATAGATCTGAATAGATCTTATTTGGTTATTAATACATACAGACAAATTAGTAAAAACTGGCATTTTTAAGCGGTAGCTTTTGGAACACTGTATTTTTTAACCGACTTCAAAAAACTTTGGACCGATTTCTATAATTCCAGATCCCAGAGGTGATCCCATACTAATTTGGTTTAGATCTGATCATTGAATCATGAAGAAATTAATGGTACCCTTAACCTTTTATGTGGAAATTGGCGGTGTTGTTTTTTGCTTAAAAATTACTTGTTTCGATATCTCTGTTAACTGTTTAAGAATTCAAATATTTCGTAGTTGACGATATTTAGGGTACCACATATGTAGGTATGCTTATGTATTCATATGTATGTGTTTAAGTACATTTACGCTGTCGCTCAGCTGACTTGCCGGAAAGCACCATCTCTGCTACACATTTTCTCGCCTCCGCCTCAACCTTGACCTTGATGGCCTCCTAAGGCTGGCGCGAAATCGTAGCAAAATGCAATCGCACGAGCAAAGCAAATCATAGAGAAATGGCGTGATAAACAAACAGCCAATTTCCGTGAGTAAAAATAACAAATTTAAACTAATTGCAATTGAGCGTTTAGTGATGCAGTTGCAACGCGAAAAGCTGAGGAACCAAACCAACACACAAACCGAATGCATACTCGCAATTGAAAAGCGCGCGCGACGGAAATTCAAATTGCATGACATTAAATTTTTGCTGGCACACTATGAATTCGGAGAGCGCTCCCGGCTGCTTATATACGATACATACATATAATCACTTATGCATGCATATAATACATGTGTACGTTGACATGCAAATGTACATATATACATATATTATTCATATGTATTTACATACATATTTATGTTTTCAAATATTTCGCTCCGGTTGGGCATAAGTGGAAATTTAATTATGCACTTTTTTCAACACATTACTCACTTCGTTCCGAAAACTTCGATTCACAGTCCTAACTTTCGTTGATTTTCACGGTTGGAAAACTACATGCGATGCAAAAAAATGTAGGTACATTCCAGTACAACAGACGAATACCAACTGATTTCACGATTCTCAAACTAAAGCCGGCTCAGCGGAAGAGCTCTACAATTCCCAAATATTTACTATGCATAAAAAAATAAAATAAAAAATTCCACTAACACTAAAGCCAACTCAGCAAAAGGCGCTAATAAATTAGAAACCCAGTAGGAAATAGCCGGCCAATTATTAAAGTAAGTTTTGTCAGTGGATAAATACAAAAGACGACCGACCAACCGAAAACCGAACCAATTTTTAATAAACAAATTTTCTCTATTTTTTATATTTTCTTATGTTAAATATGGTAACACCGTTATAGCGGATAGCAAACATTATATATTTCTGTAATATATATATATATATATATATATATATATTTGTATTGTCACTGAATAAATAAAGATGACCCAAATATGTATGTACTTTGTTTTTTAATTCCATAGGCGTTGAACCAAACCGAAGCCCCCGTTCAAAGACCAAAAAACTGTTTTGACGAACCAATTCAAACGTGCAAAACCAGTTCGAACCGCTGCACTGAACCGTCCTAATTTTTCATCCGGTTCACGTCCCTGAAAAATACATATGTACATACCGCTTCATTTGAATAAACACATTATTTTCCCTCAGAAAGCGGAGCGTATATTTCAAAAAAAAAATGCATGCCTAAATCGACAAGAACACGAATGGTGGTTTTCTCCGGGGAAGGTACTTTAATTTTGATAGTTCCAAAGGATTTAAAAATTCTTTTGGCCATTTTTATTTTGAAAGGTGGTACGTTTTTTTTATATTCCGCTTTTTGTAAAAGTCACAAATTTTTTGTACTCTATAAATACATACATTGCCGCAATTGATATAAAAATGCTGAATATTTTCAGTGAAAATGGTGGTAAGTTAGATTTAAATATTTTTGTCTCGAGTTTACACCTCTTTTGAGTATTGAATTCGTCGTTTAAGTTTATGTACATATGTACGTAATTTGTGTAAACGACTCCCCCATGCAAATTTTGACAGATGGTTTACGGGATGGTTTTTTGAGGCTTTTACGCGTTTAGAAGAATATCCGGAATATGTCTAATGAAGTGATAAATACAAAGATACATAAATACACCCTTATCCATTCTGAAATACTTCAATATAACACACACATTTTTCGCTTTTCTAATTATGCAACCCATAACTCCGCATTTTAAGTCCTTGAATTTACTACTTATTAGAAATTAATGTCGAAAATCTGCTCGAAAAATTCACAAGAAGAAGAAGGCGAAGGCGGACTGACTGTTCATACTTCAAATTGTTTTCATTTTCCTGCAGGGGCCTCTACAACAGAAATGAGCGTGTGAGTACACAGACAGGTACTAGTTAGCTTTTTATAATTAGAAAAAATTGATAATCTGCGCGTCGCCTTGGTTTATAGCTGCGGTGACCATCCGTCCTGTATTATACGTGACCGCCCTTTTTATTGACCCATTGTCCTGGTAATTTACTTATTTTATACGGCACGCCAAATGTTCTGTGTTTCTTTTAATGTCCTGTATTTGTCCCGTATTCGGTGTTTCGACGCCTTAACAGCTCATTAAAATGGCATGCCTATGAACGAGTTTTAAGTGATGTTGGTATATGGTCGTAATTTTCTCCATAAGCTGCTATTTTCTAATCTGTATGCCTGTGATTCGAATCGAGGAATATATACAGTGACCTAAATAGCAATTAGGACTCGACATTTTAGTAAGTTTTGGCTATTTTCCTTTAGTTTATTTAATGTTTATTATTTATTTTATGAAAGTAAAGCTCTTTTCCTAACAAAAACCATATAATACCAATTACCAACTTTATGCAAAAAACTACAAAAATTAATTCTGCAATGCGCTTCTAATTAGAATCTTTTGAAAATTTTTTTTTTTTTGCAGTTTTGTAATCGGTTTTTCAATTCTAAAAAATTGCGTTGATTTTTAATAATTTTTTATTGCTGACGGATTTTTGCACTTCCGAACTATCTATGTACTCAACAATTTTCTAAAAATTCAGTTAAAAATTTAGACGAAAATTTGTGGAATTTTTCTAAGTTCTGCATAAAGCGTGAAAGTTTGACTTATGTGGCTTTGATTAAAGCATGAACCATATTTTTATAAACAAATAACAAAAAAATTTTAATTTGAAAAACATTGCAAATATTAAACAAAAAACACCATGCACTCACTTTTTGATTGCCAGTGTCCATCTAGGATCTTTGAAGAAGGCTTTTAGATCTGTAAGCTGTTGTGGAAAAAATTTGCAAAAATATTTTTTGTCCTGTATTCAGCTCTCATAAATATGGTCACCGTATATATAGCGTGAACATTTGCGCTTTTTGCGATAAATAAATATAAATCTCGCCACTCGACCAAACCAGATTTCGTTTGTACTCACATACCATTCCATAGCCACAATTATAAATGTACATACATACCTACATATGTACGTTTATTAGGGTGGTCCTTAAATATAGGAAGCAATTTCTACATCAGATTCCCTAAGCTTCAACCCCTACTATAGTCGAAGATGTCACCTATTAATTTTCGCCCTGATTGGAGTCGGTGAAGGCGGGTCGCACAGGAGTTCAAGTTCAGATTACCTTATGAAAACGTCTTAACCGACTGCAAACGCGACCAAACTTTATATGTGATATCTTCGACTTAAGTAGTATCGATTTTGGGTATTAAAGGAAAAAAATATTTTTAATTTTTTGAGTCTCCAAGCCGGCATCCTTTGACCCCTTTGCGACACGCTTTAATCGACTCCAATCGGGACCAAAATTTAGATGTGATATATGTGATCGTGGTATTACCGATTGAGGGGGTGAGACTGAAAAAATCATTCACTTGATTTTTTAAGGGCCACCCTAATGTACTTATATATAATATAAACTTGAACTTGTTTGCCTTGTCGAGCTTTTACAATTCACTGATATCAGTACAAACTTGCATACTCATGCAAAAGATACGTGTGTTCATACATACCCAGTCCGCAAAATTAGAAACTAGGAGAACTTCTGGGAGACCTTATTTCGGATATTTTGGTACTTTGGTTGCCTTGGAAACACACCGTCACCTCTACCATGGCATGGCTATTAAAAGATACTTATTTCACACTCGCTGCCATGGAAACCCACCTTCTCGGCTACCTTCGTGTGGCAACGCTAATGGAAGATTTTCTAATAAACCTTCCAAAGAGGTCTTATTGAAAAATCCCGTCCAAAAGGCGTTTATTTAGAAACGATCCTCATTTTGCCGACTGGGTATATACATATGTATGTATCTGTTGAATGATATGCCACACGTGGTTCTCCCAAAGCTTGCGACTTATTGCACAGTGGTTCGAATTGTAGTTACTGACTGAATATGTCGTCACCTGAAATGCGAAAAGACGATTTGAACCAAGAAGACAAAAACAAATTTTCCAATCTCCAACAGTTCATCATTCCATATTATTCGTTACCCGTCGCACAGTGTTTCGACTATATGGAGGCAAGTAGAAAAAAGTCATGGTGACAGTTGATAAAAAAAAACGGTTGGACTTAGAAAGGTAAAAGTAAAAGTCATAAATACCAAATTTCACATTATTTACTCACCCCCCCTTCCACACGAACTATGTATACATTTCCGTAAAAATACGGGAATCGGCGCGATACCGTCTAATCAGTTTAGTAGCCTTTGGGGATTAGCCCAATAAAGCAAGTGTTTCTTTTTCAACTGTAATCAATTATTTAAGTGTCGCGGAATATTCAGGTTAAGGTGTTTATCATTTTTTTGGAACTTTCCTATTTTTTTACTACAAAAAAAATACTTTAAATTGTAGATACTAAAGATTATTAGTAAAAAAAAGTGTGAGTACCAGTCCGTCAGGTCTTGAAATTGGACGAATGTTTTAGAGAATTTTCTATGCAGTCTTAAAATATACAATTGGATCTTTTCGCGCGGCTTTGCAAAAATATGTAATTTTTGATTTCAGCTTCTTTTTGCATAATTTCGCGAAAAGAATTTTTCGAACAATGAAAAAATCTCACCAAACATTCGGAAAACGCGAGTATTTAAACCTACAATGTCATTTTATAGTATAACCTTGTTGTGGACCCACATTTTTTGAGAGTTTTGGACGTTTTAGTGATCCAATCTTCCCCATATTTTATATTCAGGTTTTTCTAATAAAAGAAAGTCTACAAACGAAATTTCATCGAAATCGGAGGAAATTTAATATTTCCGCCCACAAGAGTAGAGGGCGTGTCAATTGTTCCATCTTTACTAAAGTTCACAATTCTCTATTTCTAAGTAAAACTAGAGCACATGTCAAGCTTCGGTGAAATCGGTCTAGGTGTACTATTATTTCCACCGTTCGCCATAGATCCTGCGTCGAATAGTTCTCTTGATAGTCAACAAAGCTTTCTCATCTTTCTTCGTCATCGTCCATGTTTCTGTGTTACATATATAATCGAACGTGCGTGATGGGAGAACATTCCGTCTATTCTGCCCTCTCCAAGTTGGTTATGGAAGCAAAACGAATGGATCTGGCGGTAAACGGGGACGAGACGAAGTAACTCTTGTGCATTTGACCGCAAAAAATGGAGAAATTTAAAATTACCGTATTTCCTTTTGTTTATTTACGAACATCCGCTTGTGATCAGCTGATTTTCTTTTCAATTTCCCCTACTTTGCAAGATTTTTGGGTATGAAAGCACAAAACCTGTGAGTTTTATACAACTTTTAATAGTTTTGAGTACGAGCATAGTGAAAGTGGGTTAAACTGATCGGAAGTGCATATTTTAAAATTAGATATACATACATGTTTTTACAACAGATTCAGATCCTGCGGACAAAAATGAATGAACCACTTCCGGTCGAAACCCGAGTTCCGTAATACCACCTAAACATATGTAGAGCATTCCCGATTTGCGTATTTAATAAAAAATCCTTTCCCTCCATTTTAGAGGGGGTGGTCTAGGACATCGTGTATATGTATGTATGTATGTATGTACATAGTTCTTTTTTTTAGTACCCGAATCGAAACCCCCAATTGAAAAACAAAAAAAAAA